CAGTTTTTGCCACTATTATTAGTTAGTAACAAAATAAGTGTTCATCACTAGTTGTCATAGGTAGTGTCACTAAAAGTTTTAGTGACCATTGTTCGTAATTATCACTAACCATATGCTTTTAGTGACATCAAATTTTTATCACTAGTAATCCATGGTTTAGTCACAGACAACCTTTGTCACAAAATCTCATTGATATAGTCATGTATATTTGTTGTCACTATTACTTGATACTTTAGTGATGCACAAACATGTCACTACATGGCAATTTAATGGAGCTTTGATGTCGTTGGAAAAAAAAAATGTCACTACAACTTCATGTTCTAGTCATAAAGCATTGATGTCACTATAATTTGAAGCTTTAGTGACAAACATAATTATCACTAAACTTTGAAGTGTAGTCACATGAAATTATTGTCACTAGAATGTAATAATATAGTGATGTATAATTCTTATTTAGTTACGAATAGTTTGTCACTTGAAAATATATTTAGTCTTAAAATAATGATTGTGGCTAAATCTTTCTATTTGTCATCACAAAATATGATTATTATAAGCATTTTTTAATTAGTACCATATAAAAATGCATAGATGTTGTGACAATATTAATCCGTCTTTTCTTTTTTTTTTTAATCTGCTCTTACTTTATATATGTGGTATATGTGCATATATAATATATAAAATAAATCCAAATGCATATTAAATCGACAACTAAAGCAATATATTTACGTAATTATCCCAATGCAAGAAAAAATAATTTCTAACATAAATAGAGTTTGGTGATTAGAACAAATTTTCAACAGAAATAAAAGTCGAATGATTGAGAACCAAGTAAAAGAACAAACACAAGCCAAACATGATCTTCGTACTTAAGACAAACCAAACATGATCTTCATTAGGAATGAACTTCTTCAAAATGAATAGTCTTCACACTTGCAATATTTCAACACGAATTAGAAACAATATTCCTTTTCCAAATTTATTGTTTAATTTCTTCATAGTACTAATATGTCCTAAAAAGTAACCAGGATCAAATTCTAAAAAACAAAATGCATGGGGAATTAAGAGTAAAATGTGAATTTACATCCAATTGAGATTATGAATTGAGAATAAATTCTTTGTTTTGTAAAATATAAATGATAAACAAATTTTGCCAAACTTTGAAAGCATGAACTTTACCTACACTTAGCTAGCATAATAAAATAATATTTTTTTATTACACTATTTTAGTTCAAAAGTAATTATAGAGTTTTGAAAATAATATAATTGTTTATATTTGTTTCATAGTTTCCGTTTACTTTTAGTTGTCATTATATGTTTGACATCTTGTTAACTAATTATTTGTCTAATTTAGATAAACTTCCAATTATATATATTATACACACAATCTTATATCATGGAAAGAGAACAAATCTCCATTATATATAATTACAGGAAGTGTTAAGCGTAAGTGACAATTTCACATGCTTTGTAATGTTATGTGGCAAAATATTACAACAAAATAACTCGGATAAATATTGCTAATTTTTCTCTACCAAATAGTTAGATTTGGATTGCCATAAATATACATATTTAACATATGTAAATTATTCCATCTATTTATTATCTTCTTTTATAATGTGCATATGTATTATGTGTTTTAAATAAAAAATTTATAAATAAAAAATTTATAAAAAATTGTTTGTGGAAAATTACACGATTGTGACACACAAATTACACGATTCACTATAAATTATAAAGTTATACATTTTAAAAATTAGTTTTATTCATATTTTAGATGCAATTTTTATTTTAGTTAATATGCTTAAGATGTTTTGAAAAAAAATTTAAAAATTAATTCAACCAAAAGCACACTTTTATATTTTTTTATTTTCTAAAGCATTTAGTGAATAAAATAAGAGTTGCCATTCAATAAAATAGTTTGAGACGGTATATGTAGACCATAAAAAACTTGCACTATTAACATTAAGAAAAAAAAAAAGTAATTCAACCAATATTGATCTTAACTATATAAATAAGTTATGAAACAAAAAAATATCCTCAATTAAACATAATCCATTATCATAAATAGTATTGTAGGTACCAAATATAATTATAGTATGTTCGAGCATATTTCTTTGAGAATATAATTAAATTAATTTTTATTCGAGCCAAAAGCCGAAGCATGAAATATTGTCAAGTAAGATTTCGAAACGTGCGAAACAGTCATGTAGGCTCATCATGTTTGAGATTATATAAAAGGGTAATTTTGAAAAAGGTAGTAAGATAGTTGTTAGAGAGAATTTATGTTTAAATTAAAATAATATTTAATATAAAATAATTAAAGTTAATTTGATATAAAGTGTGAGAAAATGATTGGAATTGATAGTTAATTAAAATTATGTGAATGTGTGAATAGTGAATTAAAGTGGATATGATGTGTAATAATGATTGATTAATATTATTTAATTATATTGATAATATTTAAAATGGTGAGGTTGAATTAAAATTTAATTGAATTTAAATTTTAATTAATTTTTTATTGGTGGAGTTTATATCCAATTACCCTAATATA